TTCGTTCACTAACTCGAAAAATATAAAAAGGAATTAGAATATTATCTCGTTGAATTGATGAGTACTGGAATTATGGTATCAGTGAAGATCCCAATTTATTATATTCTTGTGAAATGTTTGTAAATATGAGCTGTTAATCAAGAAGTTGATTTGTAATCATTAAAATACATAATCATTACATGTGAATTCTCATATTATGTAATAACTATAAGCAGAATTTTTATTCGTTCCTTAGCTGGGATGAGGTGACTTAACAGATCGGTCATTGCCTATTGAAGAAACAAGCATTGATATACTACTTATTCATTCATCTAGTAATTAGGACAGAGAAACCCCTGATTTATTTGAAAAGGTTTACTTTTTTTAACATTAGAATTTTAGAGAAAGGGGATCAGTTTTCTTCTAGTCGGTGACCCAGTAACTCCTATATATGATAGTTTTCATTCTAACTCATCCATTGTATTCATATATGGAGAAACCTATGGACAATTAATACGAACTAGATAACTGATTTATAATAGTTTGGAATCTCTTTCTAGTAAGTAGTTTATACTTGGCTATCTACACTAGATCAAACCAAAGACTTTCAGGTCTATTGATGAAATTAGTTACTGAGTCAAAATCCAATAGTTCACATTTACAACTTCATTTAATCAGTAATAAGGTGAGATCATTAATGAATGTCACCAGTAAAATCTATTTCAGATTTGTTATTAAATGGATGAACTTCATAGATCAAGACTTACTAATAATACAAGAAAACTATCAATGACCAAATGTCTTCTAAACGCCTAACTAGTTGTATACTTCCTGTGTGTATTCGGATATTTAACAACAATCCAATAGATTTCAAATGAGAGATCATTTTTCCAAAGATCCATTCAATAGTATGAATCATATTCATTCAAATAAAGAACTATTTTTTTATATAGTTGAGATCATGAGTCAATTGAATCTAGACCACCATGGAAAACCTGGAAGTGCTGGATGGCCGTTTCTTCCTATTGTGGAACTCATGACTTATGATCTCAACTCTAAAAAATTACTGAAATCCCCACCAAACCCCTTCTGATAACTACTTTTTTTATAATATCTAATTTAATTTTTCAATGTTTTTACTTATTTTCCCGCTTAAATTTAGATATTTGAGGTTGTTATATCCCGAGGAGAATTATGAATGTTAACATTGAGGACTGTTTATGAACCAATGTGATATGTATATTTCCTATTGTATAATTTTTAAATAGCTAAACTATTCCTTATCGTATCCCTTTTATTATAAGCTTTATTTGACCCACAGACTACTACTGAACGATTTACTATTCTTGAGTTATCTCCAGTTCACTAATTACTGTTCCCCCCATTCACAGCCACATTTGTCGGAATCTTATACAAATGTTATTTTCTATTTTATGGCACGATGTGGTCTGTTTGTTTGGCATATAAACCCAGTATGTTTGAGAATAATGTTTCATATTGCAGAGGCTGTTGTTGGTGTTATGGACTTAACTGGCAGGGCTAGGCAGAAAGCAGGACTGATAAGTACTCAAGACTGCTCATACCGCTTTTGTATATCATTGGGCGATTGGCAAAGTCACTGTTCTCTAATAGGCGAGCCAACTGATATAACATATTCTACTCATTTTTATTAGGAATTCGGTGTTTTAGAAAGGAGAATCTAACAAATAGTTCCTTGAATAAATAGGTCGAATAAATATAGAATACTACTACCACTACTCGTACTGCCATTCCTACTCTTGTCACTCTAGTGGATGAAAATAAAAGTGAGTGCAACCAAACGTATCAGAACACAAAAGTACAAAATCTCTTAGTAAAATCTGTGAACTATAAATTTAATGCTTCATTTACAAAATGTTCATTAGCTGTCTCAGACTTTATTGTTCCTAAATTTCTGTACTAATCAATCTCTGTTATTGTTCTCTTCTATTCGATCTTCTTAACTTGCAGCTAGACATTCCACTTTCGATTGGTGAAGCATACTACATATATCTGTCGTCGACAGTAGCGCATACCACACTACTACTACTACTACTACGTTGCTACACTTGTTATTAAGGGAATATAAGACACGACGACTAAAGGGAAAATCGAAAGTTGTTTATCTCTTATTAAACAAAATAAGACTTAGATAACTACTACTTAAATAACTACAGTTGAATCTGCTTCCACAGACTAATTGACTAATTGTTAGTCTACTCTAATAATGTGGTAGTATTTGTAGTGGTATTAATGGCAGTGTAGTGAACGATGTATTAGTGGGGATAACAAAGTTATTTTGATGAAAATTTACAGTGTGCTTTCATAAAATATGAAAATCATTCATTAAATATATCATCTGCATATCTTCTTCGAATTGTCTCCTACAAGCTTCATTGTTCCTTCATTCCTGTTGTTATCCTGATTATTTTCTGTTTCTTTCTCTCTTCTTTATATTTCAGTCTTCTCAACCTTCTGTTTGCAGGCTTTCTGCTTCAGATTGGTGCTATATACTACTTATATCTGTCAACATAAGTAGCATACACCACAGTAATAATACTATTAATAATATTAAGTGTCTGGGCTAGGCAGATAGCATGACTGATAATTACTCAAGACTGATTATGCAGATTTTGTGTATCATTGCTCTGATCGACAATTCACTCCTCTCTAATAGGTGGGAATCAGCACGTTATGTATTAACGGGCAATTGAAATAAAAGAAATTTCATTACGAACATTTTATATTTCAATAGTTTTCATTAAAGTAAGTTAATGAATATGAAAAATCTAGTATTTTCTTATGTTCAATGTCGTAAAGAAAATCTTGATTCTAATGTCCTGAATGAATAAACTACGGGATAATTTATTTAATTATATAAAAATAGTGAATGAGACGAGACTAAACTATATGGACGAGCCAATCAGAAGCTCTCGCGGGTTTTCAAGGTCACGGCGCTAAGTTCGGTACCTGATGCTTACATACGGTCGGTTTACAACGGATTTTAGAGAAGACATGATAATTCAGCGTCTACAAGAGAAGTGACCATAAGATTTCGGCGCGAAATTCAATTACTCATTTGTATAAATAGAGCATTATAGCTGATGTCAGTTCGTGATGAAAACCCTAAGTATAATTCCTAACCTTAACCATGAGCTGTAAATCATAATTTGAATTCTTCACACAGGTTTATAACCCTCATTTAGTCTTAGTTATTATGTTGATACTCTCAGAGTCACTCTAGCGTCGCTCAAAGGCCGTCCATAATATATAGTCCCATCCTTAACCCTAAACCATAACCCTAAACCTTAACTCTAACCTTAAGCCATACCAATATAGCGACGACATTGAAGCTGTGTGGTCGAGTCTAATAGAATTTTTGAGGCTTTACCATAGTTTTAGAGGTCGACTACTATGGAGCCATATGGATGTGTTCATGTGCCGTATGCACTATAATTTTAGAACTTCTGAACCTATATCTGACCTTGAGAAGTGTTTGACTCATGTAAAATAAGTATATCCACTTTAATTCTTTGGTGTTGTATGATAAATTTTTACTGTACACTAACTGTCTTCTGATTGGCTAGTATTTCTCAAGGTCATTTAAGATTCGTTCAAAGGTCGTGAATGATTTCATTCAACGCATGAAAATAATTGGTAAGTTATTTAATTAAACACTAGATTCGGTTCCTAAGCTCTTCTAGTAAACCCCAAACTAAAACTACACAGCATCTTCAATACCAGAGAAAAGGTGCGTAATATGGAAGAAACGCTTTACTCCAAAGTTCATTCATGTACAGAAAATCTAGGTTATTTCTAGCATTTTAGATGGCTTTTGGCTTCCAGAGAATTTTGTATGGCTACTAAATATAGTAGCAATATATGTGATCACCCAACCAGAAACGCTACATATGACTTTTCACTTTCTAGATATTTCTGGCAAACGTTCAATTGAATGTTGATTAGATTAGATGTTTCTCAGTACCTTCATAGGCTTTATTTTGCTGATTTCGAGGAGTTTTATGGATCTCCCAAACAATAATTAAATCAAAAAAAACATTTTTATTAATTTGTACAATCATCAGAAGAATTGACACAAGACTTCAGTACACATTACTGAATTATTCCCAGATGAGATGAACAACTTATAATACTGTGGTGTGATCTACTTATATCCACATAAGTAGTATATGGTGATGGTCAGATATAGAATGTATTTTGGCAGAAAACCGATAAGGAAAGAACTGAAATGAAACGCAATTGGTAGGAAAATGCATAAACAATGAAATTAGAGAAAGACTAATATTTACAGAAGAAACAGTGAAGATTGAAACAATTGATAGTTATTTTGCAAATTAACTGTATGTTGTACGGTTAACAGAATTTATTTAGATAGTCTGTAATTTGTTTGTAAATACATTCAATAGTCCCCAACCGGTGACTTGTTCACTACAATACTAGTTATCAGGGCGGCCTGCTTAAACATTTGGGCTACCTGTTCCTGTCATCTATATATTTCAACAAGTTATCTAATATTGTTTGTTTTGATACATCATTATGGCTATTCATAGCACAACCTATTCAGGTGAGTTTCTGAAAAGTGTACAATTATTCGCTGTAAAGGTTAAAAAAGGCCTAATCAGAGATGTCGTGTTTGCTGGGAACATGCAGCAAAAATAATATACATTATTTATATGTCGATTGACTGAACTCCTGACATCCAACTGGCGATCACTGAAGGTTGTCATCAGAAGCAACGAAGAAATAAGAAACGTAAACATGTTGAAATACTTTATGCTGAGAATTCGATTTTGTACCAAATAATATAATATTGAATAAAGCTAATAATAATAATAATACTAGTACAAATACAGTTCAATACAGGGTACTCATTCGTACTTACATTGAATCTTCAATAAATATTTAATATAAACAATGGTAATAACAAATAAATGAATTAAACATTCAAAATCAAAAAGTATATTCATTATGATTATACTTACAGATATCCGATTTGGATAATTCTAAACCATAAACTTTACTTTCATCCCATGGTTTATTATAAGCGGATGATCCAAAAAATTCAATACGATTCAATAAATTTGTACATGGTGTTACAGTAAACCATAATGATCGATTATAACCAATAAAATATTGAATACTGTAAAATAATGTGAATAATAAAAATTAAATTGTATCAGTGAACTATTGAATATACAGGAATTGACATTCTATTGTGTATGCTACTAATGTCGATAGATATAAGTAATATATATCATCAATCAAAATTGAAATGCTTAGAGGCGGGAAGTTCATAAGATTGAAGGAAACATAACAGAAGCAAAGATTGATTGGTTTGGTAAAGGAAAGAACAATGAAGTCTTGGATGATTGATTGACATTTTGTAGAACGAATAGTGAAGTTTGAGACAATTGTTTAACATTTTGCAAAATGAAGTATTTACTGTGAATTAGGGCTATATGGAGATAATACGCACATTATGCACATATGGCAAATAAGAGACTGATCAATTACATTCCTAAACATCAATGGGAAGATTCAAATAAACAATACTAAGTGAATTCAAACTTCACCCCATCGCACAAACAAGTAGCTATCAGGATTCAGTAGCTGAGTGGATAATGTGATGGCGTTTGAAGCGAACGGTACTGCGTTCAAGTTATAGAGTGAACATCAACTCTGAGATGCAGGTACATCCATTTGACGAGTCCCAAATAGGACGAAACGTGCGTCCTGGATTTCACTGCTAGCCATTATCCATTTTTATTTGCTGTATGGTTCTCAGATTTCACTAAGATATTCTGTGATTCTAAGATTCATTACATTCGATTGTTCACCCCTTGTGTTCTCGTTCACTACAATTCTATTAGACATTGGTAAAAGAATGACAACTTTAGAGTGAGAGGAGAAACTGATTCTCTGCCTCTTTTTCAATAGTTTCAATAATGTATTTTCAGCAAATAATACACTTAATCAGTCATTTTTTTCTATAGCGAATCCAAGTGTAAAGAGTAAATTATGATACATGAGTAGAAAAATTAGATTTTCCGATGTTTCGTGACTCAATGTAAGCCACTTCTTCAGAGAATAAATATATTAATATTATATTATATTTATTTTTTTTAAAAACTGAAGTAAAGCATTTTTGATTGAGGGACATTGTTTTTGATGAAGTTTTGTTCTCTGAGCTGGATGGTTTAGTCCTGGAGCTTTCATCGTCCTTTTGAACGACATCAGCAGTACAAACTTCGGGTAGAAGTGAAGTGTTTGGATTTCGCCACATGTGATTCACAGAGTGTACAGTGCACCTCGATGTTGATTGGTTCTTATTGATCTTAAAGCTGTCATTGTTTATTTCTTTGTTTTGGTTGTATCTCCCATTGGTTTTAGTTAACATAAGGTAAGTAACATTACTGAGTGTTAATAACTCTTAAAGAAAATCCTTTTAAAAATATAATCAAACACGTTTACACATAAAAAGAATACACCGAATTTAACAATGGGTAATTGTTGAATAATAGCCTAAGTTATATTGTCACTACTTAGTGATCAATCAACGTAAATATTTCATTTTAGAGCAGATACGTCTTACTGATTGAACGCTATATTCGGATCCTAAGTTAGTTTCGTAACCCCCAAGCTAGAACTACACAGTGACTCAAACACGAGAGAAAAGGCACAAAGTATACGGGAAGCACTTTAATCCAAAGGTTCATTTATGTACAGAAAATATAGGGTTCTTATAGTATTTTAAAAGATCTTAGATTTTCCTGAAAATTCTAGAATGCTGCTAAACATAGTAACAGTGTAATAATCAGCCAATCAGAACTTCTACATGGGACTTTTCATTTTCGCGATATTTCTAGCTGAACTTCTAATCAAAGGCTGATTGGATAAAATGATTCTTAATGTTTTCTGTACTTGTCATGTCTATTGCGAGAAATTTTCAGGATCATCCCAACAGTATTGTCATTACCTAGTGATTAATCAACGTAAATATTTCATTTTAGAGTAGATCATTCTTAGCTAGTATAGATCAACTGTAATGTCAAGGAATTGTGTAACTGTGCTAATTGAATTCTGAATCCAACAAGAAACATTGATTTTGTAAAGATTGCTAGTAAATCTTACTGATGATCTTTAGCTGACAAGTAACCATGCTCAAGAAAAGATTTCATGCAGACTATCTCCAACCACTTAACCTCAAAATACTAATATTTAATGATTGAAAATGATAATATCTTCCCCTTTTTGTAGCATGTCCATAGAATTTATTATTATTACTTTCTTACTTTCTGTAATTTATACATTTGACTCGCTATGTAAAATTACGGATGAGTCTGATTGAGCAAACCAACTGAATAGGAAATTAGGAAAGGACATTGGAAGTGGATAGGACATACATTTAGGAAATCGTTAAACTGCATGACGAGGTGAGCGCTAACTTGGAATCCTGAATTAAAACGAAAAGGAGAAAGGCCAAAGAATATGCTGAGATGAGAATTGGAAGCAGACATAAAAAGGATAAGTAGCAACTGGAAACAACTGGAAAGGATTTTGCAAGAGAGAGTTGGATGGAGAATGCTAGTGAACGGCCCACGCTCCTCCACAAGGGTAACAGGCTTAAGTAAGTATTCTTATATACATCCGTTTGACCCATAAGTTGTTGCCATACGTTCTAAAACTCCAGATTCTTCATCAATTGATTACTCATCTACTACATTGGTTTTGTATCACTTATAACAACGTAATTCTCTGTGTTGCCTTATGTTAAGGATTTGAGTTATATTATTGTACGAGTTTTGCGTCATGAATAAATTGAGTATAGTAGAACACTGATCTGCCTTCTACTTTCGTCTTCTGGTTGGCTACATTGTTAGAAGGTGCTCAAGGACCAAAAATCGTTCACGCTTTGGTTGTTGTTCATTAGTCAATACGCTAATCAGTATTTAGAATGTTGGTGATCCTACTGGCGATATTGGAAGACTAATCGATAATCGGACTATAGTAAAACACCATAAAACTTTTTTCTTGTCATTACGGTCCAATTACTGAAGATCCACAATAACCCATGTAAACAATTTGTTTTGTTTAAAACGACAGTTACATTTTTTGTATTTGTTTATTGCCTATATTATGTACAAGCATAGTTTATACCTTATTTATGTTAACTTTAATCTTAATTTATCTTATAAAGTTCGTTAACCAAGTAGAAATTTAATGTATTGTATTCAGTCAAATGTACTGAACAGTTGATCAAATCAGATCCAGTGATGTAAAGCTTGAGTTGACATCCAATGGTGTTACTATCTAACTTAAACCAATAAGTATTCCCTAGGATTCTAGTGAGAAGTCGTGAGCAGTGTAGTTCAACCAATTCTGTTATGAGATAATAACTCACTAAAGATAACGGTAGACGGTGGCGCAGTTTCGTGGATTGGTCAAAGTTAAACATTAACACCGTTGCATGTCAGCTCAGTGGTCTAAAGGTTTAGAGCTCGTGCGCGAAGCCAAAGGTCCTGGCTTCGAGTCCCGTGTGTAGGATCGTGAAAGAACACTGCTGAGATATCCCATATTAGGATGTAACCGTTATTCAGTACTTCCAGGTTTTCCATGATGGTCTAGCTTCAATTGACTCATGAATTATACCATTAAATTATTAAAATCTTAACAAAACCCCCTACTGAAAGTAATTCATTTTATAAAGTATACATGTAACAATAACCAAGTTTACCTGTCAAATTGATAGTAAATAATAAGCATAATAATTTTGTCTAAAACGCAACTAATTCTCTTTTGTAAATCAAAACAATCAATTTGAAAATGTATATAAGGAGAAGAAAAACAATGTTTCTATTTGGTTCCCTGCAATTTTAATGAAAAATGAACTTTGTTGATTCATAATGAAGTAAATACATTTTGTATTGTTTGTTTTGTTCAAAACATGTTTATGAAGGGTCAAATAGAAGAAGAAAAAATGATTAATGGAGATTGTAGAATTTTCATAGTTTTTAAATCATGGACTGATGTTAGTTTGGTTATCGATGGAAAGTTGGAAGAATTGTGAGGCCGTTTCGTCCTAGTAACGGACTCTTCAGAGGTGCGTATTTATGATCACACAGGTAAGACTAGACATGAACATCGCAGGATCCCGGCTCAGTGGTCTAGAGTTTGGGTGGTCACGTGAGACCGAAGATTATGGCCTCAATTTATGAAGTAATATGTTTAATATTATCAGGATAATAGAGATTATGCACTTGAGGTAAACAACAACTCGAGAATGGGAATTTTCATGACAAATTACGATCACTCATTAAACCGATGTAAACTGAGGTTTGAGTGATTAGTTGTAACTTGTGGACTTTACTCATGTCAGCTATAAAAACATTTATTCACCAATGGGACTCAATTGTAGTCAGGTTATATAAAGAAATGACTGAAATAGAAAAATGTTGATCGTTGAATTTACACTTAGTATTCTAACTATTCTCAAGCTCCTCATAAAAATTATTATCATTTTGATTCTGTTTTGCATTGATGATAATCAGTTATAAAGAATATCAAACGATCATGAAACAGATACTCTCTGATTTTCAATAAATTTGTTATAACCTGTGGGCTTATGCCCTAATAATATATAACGTAATGATACTGGCAATTAGAGAACAGTGATGCATCGACCAGACAAATGATGCATAAAACCCATTCGAGTAGTCTAGAGTCCTCATCGGTCCTTCTTCCTACCTAGCTCTGTCTGTCCAGTTCAGAAACATCAATCGTAGTCTCCACGATAAGAAACATATATTTCTAACATACTGGGTTTATATATAAACCAAACGGACCACGTCATACCATTAAATAGAAAATGATATTTGTACGAGATCTATTCAAATATGTATGTGAATATGGGAGACTGAAATTAATAGACTAGGGATAAGTCATGAATGATAAATAGTATAATAATAGTGTATCAGTCAAAATGAAGCTTATAATGGGAAGGACATGAATATGTATAGTTTAGTTACTTAACAATTCCCAATGTGAAAATTCAAACAAGACATGTAAGTGAACAATATTGTTTTCAGTTAGATTGTCATCAATATTTACTGTAATATACATGAATATTTATATGAAAATGTT